ATCCTGGGTAATGGAATGCAATTTCTACTGCATGAGTAGACAAAAGGCATTCTAATTTGTATCAAAACAGGAGAACTGTTATGTAAACTGCCTCTACTCTTGGGTGAAACCATCCCCAATGTGCACATATATCCTGACAATGACAAACAACTACATGGAACATTCATAATAGTAATTATGATAATGTTATATATACACATGAGGGGGGTACCAAAAAAATCTGGAATTTTTTTGAAAGCTATATATTAAATTTTTTTTTTATAAAACAACCTTACACCTTCAAAGTACTCTCCATTATCCTTAATAAATTTGTGAAATCTGAAAAAAATATTAGTCAAATCTGTGATTCTATTCTTGGAAACATTTTTCAAAGTCATCTGTTTGGATAGCTGACACACCTCCTTTTTTTTTTTTTCTTCACCTCTTCTACGTCTTCAAATCGCTGTCCTTATCATTTGTGGAAACAAAAAGAAGTTGCATGGAGCAAGATCAGGTGAGTCAGTTGCTTGGGGCAAGAGACGCATGCTGTTTTTGCCAAAAACTGCGGGAGCAGTTGCATTGTTGTGGTGGCAAAAGCAGTCCCCTGTCTGCAACAAACCAGGCATTTTTTTGTAGTCCACTGTTGTGCAATCTTTTCAGAATCAAAATAGAAAGCTTGAATAGCAGCCTGACCTGGTGGAATGAACTCCAAATGTACTGTCCTCCTCACATTGAAAAAAACAAATGAGCATCTTCTTAATCTGTGATTTTCACTTGATGAGCTTTTTATGGGCAAGGTAACAATGGTGTCTTCCTCTGGTTTGATTGATGCTTGCATTTGGGGTCATAAGAATAGCACCATTTCTCCTTACTAGTAATGACTGGAAAAAAAGTCTGGGTCACTTTGGAGCTATTCTTTCATGTTTCCACTCAGCACGCTTTTTCCTGGTCAGTCAGAACCTGAGGCACAGATTTCTCAGTGACTCTTCTCATTTCCAAATCTTCCTCTAAAACTCGCTAAGCTGATCTCCAAGATAGTCCAGATAATTTCCCTCTTTCTTCATTGGTCAATTCTGAGTTTTCAATCATAAGCACACAAATGTTATCAACATTTTCATCTGTTTGGGAAGTTGATGGATGTCCAGAACGAGGTTTGCCATAAATTGACAATCCACCTTTTTTGAAATGAGAAAACCACTCCTATACTTGAGTTTTTCCCATAGCGCTGTCCTTGTAAGCTGTGCTCAACATCACAACAGTTTCTGCAGCACTTTTCCCAAGTAGGAAACACAATTTAACAGCCGCATGTTATTCTCTTAAATTGACCATCACAAAAAACGAGGATTGAGCGAAATTGCTTTTATGAAATAATTCACTGTGACCTGAGAGAACCTTCCCAGGAAACGCCACTGAGTGCACTAACAGAGCGAGTTGCTGGATGCTCAGCTAGTGTGGAAAATGCATACTACAGAAAAAGCTCTGCGCAGCAGTGCTTGTTTCCTTTTTTTTTTGCAGGGGAAGGGGGAGTATCCTTTTGTATGCATTCCCAAACTCACTGCCTACAAGTCAATTCAAAGTGACCCTGAAAGTCAAAGTAGAACTGCCTCTGTGGGTTGTTTTAGGGTACAAAAGAAACCAGATCTCAAATATTTTAAAATAATCAATATTTTAAAAATATTGATTAAGCCAATGACAATGACAAGACACAGACTTAATGCAGACTTATCGTCTAGATGAGGGAGGCCATTAACATGAGGTCAAAATGTCATACAAGGAGTCACAGTTGGGAAGCTGGATAAATAGGGCATGGAACAAAGGGGTGATATCAATACCTCACAGTTACAGGTGAGACTACAAAAGCAGGAATGGGACCATGATTGGGACACATACATTATGACACAGACAGGCTTATAAGATAGGTCCAGGGCCCACTGACCAAGACAGTCAGAGCATGACTGATAAAACATGACTCATGCAGATGCGACTCTTTGTACTGTCCCCAGTATGGTGACCTCCATCAAGGACATACCTAGGCGAGACTGCTCCCCTACCCCTATCCCACCCCCCCTTTTTTTTCTGGTGCCAAGTTTCTGGGCTGGTTGGGAAGGGTGGAGTTAATTTACTTTCCAATGTCCTCTGCCTAAGTGCAAGAATAGCTACATCTTCAGAAAGCATTCAGTGGAGGCTTAATCTATTTGGGGATCCTGCAAATGGATTTTGGGCTGTCTCTCCAAACCAGAGTGCACAGAATTTAAGTTCTACTGCAGGGTTTCCAAGTCTATAAATTGTTATAGGAGTAGAAAGATTCATCTTGCTCCTATAGAGAGGCTGGTAAACTTGAACTGCTAACTTTGTGGTTAATAGCTCCAAAGTGTCAGTTTATAGTGACCCATTGATCTTTGAAAAATAGAATTACTTCATTTAAATGCTCTAATTCAGACACAAACATTTCAAAACAGAGCACTGCTTTCCAGGTTTATTCTGGGTCATGAACAGAACTCACTGGACCACTAGAACTCCTCTTAGAAGTCTTACATATTCACAAATATGTTTTTTGCACTCTCCCTTGAATGTGCAAAACAGCATGAGATCAGAGCTCCCCTCAAAACTTAGTAATTACCTCTGTTAAAAGCGAACTCCAATTTTTGGAAAATTCTGAGTCATTCAAGACTGGGTATTAAAGGCCAACAGGACAGAGAATGAACCATTCACAGCTGAGAAAACACATAGCAAGACTTAATGAGATCTAATATTGTTTCTGAAAGCTCTGAGACATGGGTTTATAATTCCAATAGAGTTTAACTCTTTTGGAGTCTCCCAGTGTCCTTGGAAATGTGAAGTTAAGCCCCCCCCCACTTTTTTTTCTGGTGCCAGGTTCCCTGGATCCTCCAGAGATCCCACCAGAAAAGCTTTGAAATCCTGTTTTCCAACCATTCCACTTGTTTTAGGGTACAAAAGGACCCCGCTCCCAAATAGAGAGTGAAGAGAGAACATTTACTAAATCTTAAAAGGGACAGAGACGACGCAGGGACACATCATCCGGAGAGGGAGGCCATTAGCAGGAGGTCAGAATGGTGTCCCGCTTATCAGTTTTTATGGGAACAGACAGCTTCACGTTTCTCCTACAGAGTAGCTGGTGAATTTGGCGTACTGACTTTGCTATTAGCAGTTTAATGCTTACCCAATGACTCTCTTCCAGAGCTCCTTAACAGTAATCATAGCTACTAGTATTGCTACCCTTTCCTTCACTAAGATTCCCTGTGGGATAATGGTGCTTACACATTGGACTGCTAACTGCAAGGTCAGCAGTTTGAAACCACCAACTGTTCCATGGATGGAAAACAGGACTTTCTGTATCGGTGAGGAAGTATAGTCTTAGAAATCCACAGGGTTGTTCTCACTAAATTGGCTTGGACTTGGTCGCAGTGAGTTGATTTTTGCTTTTGTATATGCATACATATGTATTTTTACCCCATTCAGCAATTTGTACACATATTGCTCAATGACAATTTGTACACATATTGCTCAATGACACATTCTACAGTGTGTCAATATTTCATTATTTTCACCCTAGTAGTTCCATTCCTTTTAACTTCAATTTATTGCCTTCTAACTTTCTCACCTATTCTTTTGAGTAATTGTTGTTCCTTTGGTTTCATATAGTTATTTTCTTTCACAATGTTTTTTTGTTAGCCTGCTATTTAGTCCAAGGTTAACTTCAAGGTTTAGCTTCCAATTCAAAGTTTAAAGACTATTTTGGTAATAGTCTTGAGGACACCTGCATTCTTTTCGCGCCCAGAAAAATCTGGGTTCTTTGAGAATATGAAGTTCTATTCCACATTTTCCTCCCTTTCTATTGTGTCTTATTCGCTGTGATCCTGATTGGATATCTGGTAGTGGTAGTCAGGCACAGTTAAATATAGTTTAGTAGCTTTGCTGTACGTTATTACTTACCATTTTCTCATGTTGTCACATTTAGGTTGTTGTTTCCAATTTGTTTGACCCTATAGATCAGGGATGTCAAACTGGCGGCCTGCAGGCCGTATAACAGCCCCTGAGGTAAATTTTTGTGGCCCACAGTGCTCTGAAGTAAAGTGTAACGAGGAAATTGTGTGTGTGGTATTGCCTCGATTTCCCTTAAGCGCTATTTTCTTCTTAACAATTTTTTTTTCATTTTATTTCAGAGCATCGTGGGCCACAAAAAATTACCTCGGGCAACATGTGGCCCTTGGGCTGCCAGTTTGACACCCCTGCTGTAGATGGTCCTGTGATAAACATCTTTGTGAGTAGGGTATGCTTTAACAAATATTCTGAGAGGAAATTGTCACCTGTTAAGTGTACTCCCGAGACTTGATTGAAATGATTGTAAGCCCTGCGGTTACTTATATTAATTTCAGAAAAAGGAGAGCTTTGATAAAGTTGTGGTCTAGGGTTTTTAATATTACGCTGAATTTTTTAAGAAACTTCAATATGTGTTTCATTTTAGGTGCTACCAACTGTAATGAAGATCATTGTGAGACAGAAGACTGAATAAAGCCTTGTCACATTGGCCCTGAGCTTGAGATTTAGATCAAAAATTAAATTCGTTACTTTGATTTCAGTGTTCCTTTTTTGTAATATTTATTTTTTACTTAAATAGACATAGTGAGCAGAAAATTAAAATTAAGACCTAAACCATAGGTTATACTAATATTTGTTCTGAATCTTATTCAGATACCAAAGAGCTATAGATATTAATAATGGAATACAATAAAAAGAATTTTATTTTGTCAGTTATTGGCATCCTCATCTACATATTTGATTTTATTGTGGATATCTGGGTGTCTGTCAAGTTTTTCTGTGAAGGACAATATGTTTTTGGTGCTTTAACAATAAGCTTTCTGCTCTTTGGAACACTTGTTGTCCAGTGCTTTAGTTATTCTTGGTTCAAGGCTGATTTCAAGAAAGCAGGTAAAGAAAGTCAGCATTGCTTTCTTCTTCTTCATTGCTTGCAAGGAGGAGTTTTTACAAGGTAAGCATACACTCTTGATCATTAGCAATATTTTTTTCTTATCCAGTTAGAAACTGGATCTTCTTGTATCTGAGCAGTCAGATGTACAAAGGGACCCTATTTACTGTGGAGCAAGATTACTTGCTCTGCTTTATGAGTGATATATGGTCAGAATTTTTCCAGGCTTATTAACAGAATGTTTTAATTTAATTACTGGAATTTTATTTTTCTAATATGTACTAGAAAATAGGTACAAGAAAATATGTACTAATGTGTTCTAGAAATTATTATGTACTTCACTTTTCATGGGAAAAATATACATCTTTTGTTTTTGTGAACCTTTTATGATCTGTGTGTATTTCAAGGTCATTTATGAAAATAAGCCTAAACTTGCAATTTCCAGAGCACTTAATTTTATGTTACTTATACAGGGATTTAACAAAATTTAACAAAAATTTAACTTCAATACTGCAGTAGCCAGATGGTTAGCTAGGGATAGAATCATAGAACTAAAAGAGGCCTTAAGAATCATATAGTTTAGAATTTTATGGTTCAAGAAACTAGGACATAAGTACATTCTGAGTATTCGGTGATTCTCTGTACATCTAATTTAATATGGCCTTTTCATTCTCCTACCTTAAGTGATTTCTTTTTTGTTAGAGTCAATACTTGTATATATCTTTAAAGAGAAATATTAAAGGCTACTATCAAAAGAGGCTAACACACTGTTTTGTTACAGTTACCTTTTTGCTCTTTGGGAAAGTTTGCCAGTGTTCTCTATTTCTTCATTTTAAAATACTTTATTGTGTTTTTGGTGGGCATTTACAAAGCAAATTAGGTACTATTTGGCAATTTCTGGGCAAATTCAGAATGTGTCAACATTCTCATTATTTCCATTCTGGTTGTTTTGTTTCCATTCATCTAGTTTCCCTAACCCTCCTACTTCCTCATCTGTACTTGAGAGTAAAGGTTGATCATCTTGTCACATTATATGAGTTAACATTTTTAAAATTTAATTTTCCCCATATGTTTGAAATGAACTTGTATGTCACTGAAGACCCAAGTCCATTTTAGTTTTACTTTTCCTCCTTTTTTAGCCACTCGGACCAATATTTAGATCTGAGGGGTAAGGAGTCTGGAGAGTTATTTATTTATTTATGGAATAATTTTTAATTAATTAATTAAAATTTCCTTGTTAAACTCTCCATTTTAAAAGAAATTTAGTTACCCTACCCAATGCCTCCCCTCTCTCCTTTTCTACCCTCACTCCTCCTCATAGTCATCAAAGTCTTTTGATTTATTTAATTAATTTATTTTATGGATTCTGATTTCTGTTACCTTCCTCTGAAGTTATTTAAAAAACAGTTAAATAACTAGTGAATTACAGTGATGTATTACAGAAGCTTGATTTCAGCTTTCTTGTTGATAGGGGTCTCCAAGTCAATTCCAGCTCATATGACCCTATGAATAACAGCCCAGTCCTGTGCCATGCTCACAATTGTTATGTTTGGATCTATTGTTGCAGCCACTGTGTCGATCTATTTTGTCCGAGTCCTTCTCATTTTTCATGACATCTTTATTAGGGACTGGTCTCTCTTGATAACATGCCCAAAGTCCGTGAGGGTAAGTCTCATCATCCTTGCTTCTTAGGAGTGACTGGCTGTACTGTTTCCAAGATAGAATTGTTTGTTCTTCTGGCAGGTCATGATACTTTGAGTGTTCTTCGCCAACACTGTAATTCAAACGCATCAATTCTTCTTTGGTCTCCCGTATTTGTAGTTAAGCTTTCACACGTATATTAAGTGTTTAAAAATACCATGGCTTGGGTAAAATACCGCCTTAGTCCTGGGAGTGGCATCTTTGCTCTGTAACACTTTCAATTGATCTTGTGAAGTAGACTTTTCCAATGCAGTATGCCATTTGAGTTCTTGACTGCTGCTTCTATGTGTGTTGATTGTGGATCCGAGTCAAGTGAAATCCGTGGTAACTTCAGTCTTTTCTCTGCTTATTATGATGTTGTTTATTGGTCTGGTTGTGAGGATTTTGGTTTTCCTTATACTGAGGTGTAATCAATACTGATGGCTGCTGTCTTTGGTCTTCATCAGTAAGTACTTCAAGTCCTTGTTGCTTTCAGTAGGCAAGGTTGTATCATCTGCATATCACAGATTGTTAATAAGCCTGTCATAGATTGTTAATAAGTCTCCCTCCAATCCTGATGCCATTTTATTCTTTGTATAGTCCATCTTCTTGGATTATTTGCTCAGCACATGCCTTTCATGATTTTAAACCATACACATGACACATGCCTTACATGATTTTAAACCATACACATTCCCTTGGTCTGTTCAAATGAGTTCCTCTTGGTCTATATTCGGCATGAGCATAATGCCTGTTGGTGTAGGTTCTTCATGAACACAATTAAGTGTTCTGTAATTCCTATTCTTTGCAATGTTATCCATACTTTGTTATGATCCACACACTTCACAATGTTATCTACTTTCCTATGTCTTTGCATAGTCAATAACACAATGTACACATCTTTCTGGTGTTCCCTGTTTTGAGCCTCAATTCATCTGAAGTTAGAAATGATAGCTCTTAGGCCACATCTAGTTCTAAATCCAGTAAATTTCTAGTAGCTCCTTGTCGATGCACTGCTGCAATCATTATTCATTTACCTTCAGGAACATTTTACTAGCCTCTGACATTATGATATTTTTGATAATTTCCATATTCTCTTGGGTTACCTTTCTTTGGAATAGATACAAATATCAGTCTTTCCCAGTTGGTTGGCCCAGATATTTGTCTTCCAAATTTCTTGGCATAGACGGTGACTGTTTACAGTATTTCATCAGCTTATTGTAACATTTCAATTGGCATTCTCTTTATTCCTGGGGCTTTGTATTTTGCTAATGCCTTCAGTGCAGCATGGACTTCTTCCTTCTCTCCCTTCAGTTATTGATAATATGCTACCTCTTAAATGGTTGAACATTGATGGACCAGTTATTTTTGTACATTGGTTCTGCCTATTCCTTCCATCTTCTTTTGATGCTTCCTGCAACTCTATGCTTACCCATAGAATCCTTCAGTATTATCATTTGAGTCTTGAATTTTTTCTTCAAAGGCTAGTGGTTGCTTTGCCAGCAGCTTCAGATTTCTCTTAACTAAACTTCTGCGATTTTTTGTTAGAAATTTACTTGTATGATAATAGCTCAGTTCATTTAAAAATTCTTTTAAAAGAAGAGCCTGAGCAGAGATAGTTGAATAGTTTTTGAAATTTTATATTTTCTGGGTTGATAATGAGCAAAGATCCTAGCACTTTCTAAGTATTAAGTAATTGTTCACTGGACAAAATTAAAAGAGGATTGAAGTTCATCTTTAAACTTGGCATGAGGCATGTTTGTGTGTTATTTGTAACAGAAATGACATGAACTGAAAATTGCAATTTGTCTTTCGGAAGTAGCAGTTCAGAATAAGAAGGAGAGGGAGGTGGTGGTGGTGGTGATACACGGGAAGCTGATATCAAGGAGTTCAAGAAGGAAGAGAATGTTTTAAAAATGATTGTGATAGAAATTGTACAATACTGCTTGGTGTGATTTAACTATTTAACTTGATGTGATTTAATGGTATGATGTTTAGATTAGTTCCTAATAAAATGGATTGGAAAAAAAAAAGAATAAGAATGATAAAATCTGGGTTTAGACCTTTACTCTGTAATTTTCAGCAAATTGTACCTTTTACTGGCCTTTCTTTTTTATTTTTTTTTGGCCTTTCTTTTCTTATCCATAAAATGAGAGCAATGCTTACTCATTTCACATAATATTCTGAAGAGGAAATTAATTCATCATTAAATATTCACAAATTGAGAGGAATCTGTACTAGAGAAGGTTTGTGGAGAAAATATCACATGCCACATTTTACTCAAAATCATCATGTATTTTAAACTCTTGTTTTAAGGAGTATATTGCTAAAGGACATTTTCATGTTTACAGGTACTGGTTTGCCTTGAAAAAGGGATTCCATATGGCTTTCAAAAACTGCAAAACCAATAATTTCACAGAACAGCAAATTGATTCCCATAAAGAAGTTATTTATATAATGACTGATTTAAGCATGCTCAGGCTCATTGAGACTTACCTGGAAGGCTGCCCGCAATTCATTCTTCAGATCTACATCTTTCTGGAGCATCGTCAATTGACTTTCAGTCCATGTAAGTTTTCTCCATATGCTGTGTTAGATGTGTGCCACCGAGATCTTATACTAACACATAATTCTGCAACAACTTTTAGAAAAATTTTATTCATTTTCTTTTTAAATATTTAGTTTCCAAAAAAGGAAACAATCTCATGGCTTCACCTATCAAAAATATGAAAATATATATTGACTTCCTCCCTCTTCTCCCCACCCTTTTTTGTCATTTGCCCAGAAAGTAAACTACTATTGGTAGATTTTTTTCAGACAGCCGTGGGTTACACTATGGGCTGCTAACCGTAAGGTCAGCAGTTTGAAACCACCAACTACTCCATGGGAGAGATGAGCTTTCTACTGCTGTAAAGAGTTACAGTCTAGAGATTCCCAGAGGCAGTTCCACCCTGTCCTGCTGGTTCACTATAAGTCAGAATCAACTCAATGATAGTGAGTTATAGTTGTTTTTTAGAGGGGTGTGTGTGTGTGTGTGTGCATTTATTCTTTAAAAATTTTTTTTCTTTTATATTAATGGTAATATAAAATACTCTTTTTTTACTCTGAATGATATCTCTTGGAGATGTATCCATTTTAATACATAAAGATTTTTCTTCTCTATTTTACAAACTGTACAGGATTGCAAACTATGTATGTATCTTAATTTATTTGTCAAGCACCTTATGTATGCACCATAATTTATTTGCCCAGCATTATTTATTTAAGTTGTTTCTAATATTTTACTATTAAAGTACTTTAATGATCTTATGTATATATAGCTTTTGATATATGATGTAAGAGGGGGTTAGGCCCCCCTCCCTCCCAAATGGAAAAAACTTTGCTGGGCGCAGCTTTTGTAGTACATATTTTTCCTACTAGGCGAGCATCCAGCAACTCGCTCTGAGTTAGTGCACCCGGTAGCATCATCTGGTAAGGTTCTTTCTGGTCACATTGAATTTTTTCGTGAAAGCAGTTTCACTCAAACCTCGTTTTTTGTGATGGCTGATTTAAGAGAACGGCGTGTTTAAGGGAAATTTTGTATCCTGCTTGGGAAAAATGTCACAAAAACTGTTGTGATGTTGAACACAGCTTACAAGGACAGCACTATGGGAAAAACTCAAGTGTAGGAGTGGTTTTCTCATTTCAAAAAGGTGAAATATCAATTAATGACAAACCTTGTTCTGGACATCTGTCAACTTCCCAAACGGATGTAAATGTCAACAACATTTGTTCACTTATGCTGGAAGACTGATGAAGGACATTGAAGAGATGGGGAAGTTATCTGGACTATCTTGGAGCTTGGATCAGTGAATTTTAAAGGAAGAGTTGGGAATGAGAAGGGTCGCTGTGACATTTGTGCCCTGGGTTCTGACTGATCAGGAAAAAGAGCATCTTAATGCATACATGCCTTGCTTTGAAAGAACCACTCCGAAGTGACCCAGACCTTTTATCCAAGGTCATTACTGGTGATGAGACATGGTGCTATCCTTACAACACCCAAACCAAACATCAATCAAGCTATTGGAAGACACCATCATCACCTCACCCCCAAAAGCTCATCAAGTGAAATCACAAATCAAGATGATGCTTATTTGGTTTTTTTGATGTGAGGGGGATAGTGTATTTTAAATTCATTCCACCAGATTAGACTGTTAATCAATCTTTTTATTTAGAGGTATTCTGAAAAGATAGTGTATTAGTGTGTGAGAAAAAAGGCCTGATTTGTTGCAGATGGGAGACTGGTTTTGCCACCACGACAATGCACCTGCTCATGCAGCCATCTCAGTGAGCCAGTTTTGGGCAAAAGCCAGCATGTCTCTCTTGCCCCATGCACCTTACTCACCTGACCTTGCTCCATGTGACTTCTTTTTGTTTCCATGAATGAAGAGGGACGTGAAAGGACAGTGATTTGAAGATGTAGAAGAGGTGAAGAAAAAAATGAGACAGGTTCTGTCAGCCATCCAAACAGATGAGTTTGGAAAAGATTTCCAAGAATAGATCGCAGATTTGACAAATGTATTAAGTGTAAGAGAGAGTACTTTGAAGGTGATAAGGTTGCTTTGTAAGGAAAATTTAAATACATAACTTAAAAAAATTCTGGCTTTTTGGGGGTACCCTCTGATATATCTGTTGGGTAAATTCCAAGAACTGGAATGTCTGGGTATACCTGTGTATTTTATAAAAGTTATGGAAACTGGCTACTATGGCAACTTTCTTTACTTTAGTAAAATGTTCATTTTGTTAGGGCAGTTTTGTATTTTCATTCTTTAAAATAGCTTTAATAGATGTTTAACTTGTCATGCAAGATTGATAATATTTGTTTTCAAAATAAGAGTACTAGTTTTTATAATGACTAGGGTTCTGTAATTGAATTTATCTGGGCCCCCACCCCTGGTGTCCGAGCCCAACATGCAGCCCAGAGGGGATGGTGTGGCAGGCCCTCCTGTCAGGGCACATGACCCCAGCCAGAGACCCGGCAATTTGAAGGCATTGTTCCTTTTATTCGCTTTGGTGAGAAGCCCATCCTCAGAGTTCCAGGCCTTAAAAGACAGAAATGTGACCACTGGACTTCATGTCCCCCGACCACCTATGCCTGCCGGTTACTCAGTGGAGGTGGACCAGACAAGGACGCCAAAATCTGTTTTGAGGATGAACTGGCCATTGGGGAAAAGATGGGAAATGTTACAAGAGGAATAAATATTGCCATCGTCAACTATGTAACTGGGAAGGTGACAGAAACAGGATTTTTTTATATGTATGAAGATGCTAACTCTGGACCCATGGCAAGGTTCATTCAGAGTACACCACAGAAATCCTGCTCTTCGTGATGGCCCACAGTGATGGCAGCAGCAGGCTGAAGGATGACTCCAAGGAGACCATCAGAGCGCTGGGAAGCAAAGAAATCCAGAACATGAAATTCAGGTCCAGCTGGGTATTTCTTGCAGCAAAAGACGTTAACTTCTTACTGGCATTCGGAGAGAAAAGGTTAAAAAAAGAAGTAGAACAATCTCACTGCTATTAAGTCAGTTGAGACTCGTAGTGGCCCTAAAGGACAGAGTAGAGCTGCCCCTTTGGGTTTCCAAGACCTTAAATCTTCACAGGAGCAGACAACCTTGGAGTGACTGATCAACTACTCTGATGCAAAGAAGAACAGATATTCTGGCTGGCCCGCAGAGATACAGATAGAAGGCTGTATACCACGAGAGTTGAGCTACATTGCACTGCCTCAATAAACAAACGTGCTTTGTAAAAAAAAATTTTTTTTTAATTTATCTGTGGGGTTCAGATGGTCATTTTCCCTGTAGTTTCTCTGCCCTGGACTGACCTATGCAATAAACTCATCCTTCCAAGCAGTCTCTCTGTTCCTAATGTCCCATAAACGTCTAGGGCATATTTTTAGGTGTTGTTAGGTGCTGTCGAATCACTTCCAATGTTTAGTGGAAGAACGAAATACTGCCCAGTCCAGAGCTATGCTAATAATTGTTGCTAAATTTCAACTGTTTGTTGCAGCCACTGCTTCAGTCCATCTTGTTGAGGGTCATTTTTTTCACTGACCTTGTACTTTATGTAACATAATATTCTTCTCCCGGAAGTGATTCCTCCTTATAACATGTCCAAAGTACACGAGGCAAAGTCTTGCCGCCCTCACTTCTAAGGACCATCTGGCTGTATTTCTTCCAAGACAGTTTGCTCTTTCTAGCAGCCTTTTTAGTTGGCTTCCATATGCATCCTGGGTGGGGTCTGACCCCTGCCAAAGTCCCTGGACCTTTACCCAGGATGTATTCATTAAGTAGCTCATCCTCTATGGCAGCTGTGGTGGTGTTGAAGTAAAGCCTTCGGCTAACTAAGGTAGCCCAGCGTTGGCCACAACTGTGGTGGGACTAAAGTTGAGCCCCAGTCGGCAAACCAAAAGCCCTCAGCTCTTTAAAACCTAGTGGATCTCAGTCTATTTACTTTATGATGCTCCTCCTGTGACCTGTAAGAGTGAGTTTCCCTCTCAGTGGCTCTCCTGTGTTGATTTCCGAGGAGTCCCTCCGGTGTGTGTTACTTGGTCACTATCTTTCCCCCTGGTCTTAAACTAGTACTTTGAAAAGAAAATTAGGGAACCAATTTTATTTACTATCTTATCAACGAGTATAAAATTACAGGTATGAGAAATCTGGCATATATCATAAAATTCACAAAAGGCAGAAAAGTAACATATTTTTATTATCTTAATATTCATCTCAATTCCTTATGGCATACTCTGACTATTGACAGTTTTAGAATTATGTTTAATTTTATTTTAATTTCTCCTCTTAGAGTTGATTAAAAATTTTAAGTATTTTTAAATTAGAAATTTTCTTTCACCTTCACAAATTATTTTTATTGGTAATATTATTTTTGGTTTATTGTCTCTTTATTTTAATTAAAAGATCATTTTATTGGGGTTTTTTACTGCTCTTATAACTTTCCATACATCAATTGTATCAAACATATTTGTACATATGTTGCCATTATTATTTTCTAAACATTTACTTCCTATTTGTGCCCTTGGTATCAGCTGCTTGATTTTCCCTTCTTTCCCCCCTTTCCACTCTCATGACCCTTGATATATTATAAATTATAATTATTTTTATATCTTACACTGACCGCTGTCTCCCTTCCCCCACGATTTCTGTTGTTTGTCCCCCTTGGAGGTGGTATGTAGTTATGTGTGATCATTGTGATCAGTTCTCCCTTCCTTCCTCCACAGCCAATCTCCCCCCTACCCTCTTGGTATCACTATTCCTATTTCTGTTCCTGGATTCCATGCGTCGTAAGTTCTTATCTATACTTGTGTACATGCTCTGGTCTAGCCTGCAGTGAAAGGCAGGATGTCCTTGGGGTCATGATAGGGGGGAGTGAGGAAGCCTCAGTCATGATAGTGGGTGGTGGTGGTGAGGAATCCTCAAGGAGCCAGAGGAATATTGTGTGTTTCATTGGTGCTATACTGTGCCCTGCTTGACTCATCCCTTACTTGTGACCTTTCTGTGAGGGAATGTCCCA